TTGGTTGGGGTGAGGCTTTCAGGGTCTGCGGGTCTGAGGGTCAGAAAAAGGTGTGTGGGGGTGACAGTGGCGAGTGGTTGCAGGGCTCGATGTGGTGCAGCATCGTGGGCGAAAGATTTGCTGAACTGCTGGGATGTGTCCTTGCATGTTCTTTCGGGGCACTCGGGGACGATGAGTCTAGACTTGATGCAAAGCCAGCGGCTGTGCAGTTGAGCCTTCTGCACTCTCCTTGCCTGGCTTGTGAAGGTTCTGGATGTGAGGGTGTCAGGAAAAGTTTTTTTGGCTTTGCAACATCCGAAAGGGCCAAGTTTACGTTAGCGCTTCTTTCTGACTGGCCTGTGTGGCGCTCGCGTGGGTGTCATACCGTCAGGATTCCAGGAGGGGGATTGCTGAGTTTGGTGTTTTTCCGGTCAGGTTTTGGCAGGTGTGGGTCCAGACTTCCGATGCGTTTGGGGTGACAGGCACATGTCGAATATGCTGCCCACTCGGGCAAATCTGCATGATGCCCTGGACCTATTGGCAGGCACCGTGGGACGGTGCGTTGCTTTCAGTGTCCCGTCACAACAGAGCCTCACCCTGACATACTCCTGCAGATTGAGATGCAGCTTCTTAGACATGGGAACGAAGAAAAGGCGATCTCGGTAGCCGTTCAGCGAAGACTCGAAGCGTAGAGCGCCTAACTGTTCTTTTCCAGCTCCACAGCAGACATGGCCAGCTCTCGTGCGGTCACAGTCTTCTACGCGGCAGCAGCTTTGTTGGCCACTTTGGCCAGTGCTACAGAGACTACCACTACCACGATGTCCATGACGGCCACGATGACGACCTCCGTTACCATGACCATGACGCACACGATGACCAGCACCATGACTGACACAATGACGGACACGATGACAACAACGACGGACCCCAACGCCACGACGACCACGAATCTCGGCATTGCTTTGGCGTCAACACGAGACTTTCGGGAGACAGTCAGAGTAGTGCTGTAGCTGGAAGACACACGGTGTTTTCGGAGAGTGAGCCAGCCCAGGACTACTGCTGGAGGCTCGGTCAGTGGAGTTCGGTCCACGTCCATTTTTGCCGCCATCAGCACCACGATCATGGGAGCCGTGGCGCTGCAGTGGCTGGTTCCACTTTAGCCATGCGCTGTTGAGAGCCCGTAGATTGTGCAAAACCCATCCCCAAGCAGTGGCCCAGGTGAAGATTTGGCACTGTGGCGACCGACCCCCTGACGAATTATGCACAACGATCATGGAGCATTGGCACTGCAGTGGCTAGTTCCGCATATTAGCGGTACAGCAGTTTGGTGAGCCTGTAAGTTGTACTAGCCCGAGATGCAGCACAACCCTGTCCAAACAGCGGCCCATGTGAAGAATTGGCACTGTCAGGTGACCAACCGCCCATGACGAACTATCACTTGCAGAAGCCATATGCGCTCCGGCCTCGACGACCCCTCCCTCCGACGGAGGTGTCATGGCGAAAAGAAGGCCGACAGCAGACTCCTTGCCTGGCTTGTGAAGGTTCTGGATGTGAGGGTGTCAGGAAAAGTTTTATTGGCTTTGCAACATCCGAAAGGGCCAAGTTTACGTTAGCGCTCCTTTCTGACGGGCCTGTATTGCGCTCGAGTGGGTGTCATACCGTCAGGATTCCAGGAGGGGATTGCTGAGTTTGGTGTTTTTCCGGTCAGGTTTTGGCAGGTGTGGGTCCAGAATTCCGATTCGTTTGGGGTGGCAGGCACATGTCGAATATGCTGCCCACTCGGGCAAATCTGCATGATGCCCTGGACCTATTGGCAGGCACCGTGGGACGGTGCGTTGCTTTCAGTGTCCCGTCACAACAGAGCCTCACCCTGACATACTCCTGCAGATTGAGATGCAGCTTCTCAGACATGGGAACGAAGAAAAGGTGATCTCGGTAGCCGTTCAGCGAAGGCTCGAAGCGTAGAGCGCCTAACTGTTCTTTTCCAGCTCCGCAGCAGACATGGCCAGCTCTCGTGCGGTCACAGTCTTCTACGCAGCAGCAGCTTTG